AATTTAATCAAAACGTATGTTCCTTTTGATGTTTTGTAATCTATCTATATATTATACAAATAAAAGAAAGTCGCGTTAGTTAAAGTATTTGAGGAGGTAGCGTAGAGCCAGGAGACGGACATAGGATACTTTTTAATATCTTTTTTTTATTTATTTTTTCGAATTTATGCCTTGAAGAGCTGCTTTTTATTTAACTTACTTATATTATAAATAAGTTTATATAATATACTAATTATGTTTTTTTATATATCCACGCGGACGGAGTCAAGGGCGACAGCTAGTTTGTAATATTCTTTTACCAAAACTTCAAACGATTTGCATAGAATGTTTTCCTTAGCAACGGACAGACGGTATGCGTCAATGCAGCAGAGATATGTGACAGGCTATTGTCCCATATGCGCGTGCGCTGACCATTCAATGCGCGTTGAATTCATCAAATATTTGAATATTGACGTTATACGACTGTAACTTAATTCGCTAAATATAAAGGTCATTTCGTACTTATAAAATAATGCATCCTGCTTAAGTAACAGCCACATTGGGACCGTTATTTGGTCAGTAAGAAGACCGTTTCGTTTGTCTAGATTGTAACATCTATGTCTTACTCCCACATTAACCCATTCAATACCATTTACCGTTGTTATTTAGACAAAGTGTACTCATACGCCTGCAATAAATCAACGTGCATTATCACAGACTTTCACAATCAACATGAAATATTCTACATTACTGTCAATATGATTGTCATTCTATACTAATACATACGTGTTTAAATGTAGAACTGTTACCGATTAATTGTGTACGCCGCCTATTTGTAGTTTGCTTGGATATTTTACAAATTGACACGTTAGATTTCGGTATTTAAAATTGATATTTAATTAGTGGCATTATTTACTGCCTAATTGTACGCCCGAAAGTTTACCGCTACCAACCTTTGAACGTCATTTTGTGTATGAATTTGTTCGATAAGTTAAATGCAGATTAACTATATGTTTAGGCAAATTACAAACGGACGGTATACGAGGTTTGCCGGTGACAATCGATGCGTAATCGATTCTCGTCAGGTAGGTGAATGCTAACACAGTGTTCCCGTTTAGTTGTGGCCGGTCAAAATTGACCGCGATTGTAACTTAACGGTGCACAGACTATAATATTATGTATTGTTTCTAACTTAATGACTGCCTGTAACATTGATTTTGTTTTAACAAAAAAAAGTTATATTTAAATTTAATGTTTATATACTATAAGTCGAGTAAGATCGTCAGTGTATCAGGGGTTAAGCTCTTGTCTTGTAATCTGCAAGTCCTGGGTTTGAATTCAGGGTTTGAAAGAAAACATCGTGATGCAACCTGTACATATCTCCGATGAAATTCAAAGATATTTGTGAAATCAACCCGTACTAGGCCAGCGTTGTTGACTAACTCCTAGTCACTTAGGGCAGGCTCCGAGCCCGTCAGTAGAGTGAGTTGATTTTGATACAATAAGTATGTATGTACTGTTAGAAAGAAAATCCGACACTGTGCCGGTGTATCAGCGCAACACTAGCTTTATTAAAATATCAACATTTATGTCCCCTCACTTAATTCTCTCGCTCCAAATGATTCCACCTAATAATGTCTAAAATTACATTTTAAATTTACGATGTCATTTTATTGTACTTGCATTGGATTGTTTATTTAAAAAGTGTATATAATGTGAACAGTTAAACGATACTATAGCACATATATTTTTTATCGTAAATGATTAGTTTGTGTGTTGTGTATCAACATAATTAACTAAAACGATAAGGAGATAGCACGATCACTTGATTATCAAACATTGTGGATAAGTGTCGATAAAAAATATATACATTTATCAACAAAACTAATCGACGGAATTAACAACATAGAAATACATGTTTAAATGATACACGTTCAATAACTTAAAATCAATTCTAATGTTCTTTATAATTCTATAATGTTTAGTATTTAGGTTTGCCAGGATCTCGTCATTAGAGGTCCATGGTCTCGGCCTGTTCCGCTTCGGGCGTTATTTTTGTTGTTATTATTTTGCATTTAAATAAAAAACTTGTTAAATATAATTACATGGTAGTTGTTTATCCATATTTAATTTCTGTTATCCCTATCAAAGCATGATGAAATTCATTTCTTTAAGAGTTGTTCGCTTGAATCACTGAAGTGGTTATTCACCTATTTCTTAAGTAGATTAAAGCAAGATTTACTTGCACTTGAAGAAAGAAACTTCCTGCAAATAAACGCAATATATTATACTCCACAGATAAAGAACTGTTCGCATTATATCGTGGTCGTTGACAGGAGATCAATATTATTTTTAACTCATCACAATCTTCAGTCCTACATCTCTTATCAAATGTTATTGAATTCGAATAACAGATTTACGACGCATTTCAATTTACGATTCAAACGAAGGCGAAAGTGTTTATAAATTATCTTTTTATTATTGTGAAAATTTATTGTTTATATTTAAATGGAAAACTTAAGTCATGTTTCTCGAACACGAAGTCTGGTTTTTAATGAGTAAGGTTTTATTTTTTTATTCGAAGTATTTATATAATCTTACTATCTTACTAATAATAAAAATGCGATGGTGATGTATGGATGTTTGTTTTAAGATATCTCTGGAACGGATGAACGGATCTCGCTGATATTTGGCATGCTAGAACATAGTCTGGAAGAACATATAGGCTATTTATTAATTATTTTTAATTACGCGCGGACGGAATCGGACGCGACAGCTATAGTTATATTTTGATAAACAGTATTTTTTATAATATATTATTTGAGAAGTTTTTAATCAATTTCTTTACTGTAAGCTGTCAAAATTTCGTTTAATTTAACACAATTTTGTTAAGATATGTTGTAAGTATTCATCCAAGATTCTAACACTGAAATATATTTACATTAATACTATGATAATTTTCTTGACCATAACCTTTTCCTAAGTCTATAGTTCCCTTTATACTCTGTTAAAATATTTAACGTTTTATTTGTTTTGGAGTGTGATCAGTAATTACTAACAGGAATTGTTTACTGCAAGTTCATGTTGGTCACAAAATACTCATTAGTTAAATCATCGCTAATCTTTTTAAACTTTTATCTGTTCTTATAGTTATTGTTTACCTTTTCTTTTAACATTTATTTTGAATGTCAGTTCATTGTTAGACGGTACGCACCAAGGGTTATTTATGAAATTTTGTTTAATATATTCGTTATGGATTTAAATAGTTTTCCAAATAATTCAAATGAAACAAACGCGTTGAAGCAGTGTTCGAATGTCGCATATTTTAACGCCGGATTAATTAAATTAGTGCTTTTGATAAGATGCAAATTTAATGGATATTGGTTACCTCCAAATAATGGTATGTTATGTTTTATATTTTTATTTATTTCTCAGTAGTTAACCGATTTCAAAAAGGAGGTTCTAAATTCGTCTGTATGTTTGTAGTAAATTATCAACGTCTTTGTTGGAACGTTGGAAATCTTTAATTTGTTATTTCTTGCATACTGTAGTCATCTTAGGCTTACGTGACAGGTATGAGTGTTTTAAAAGCGTAATAATTTTGTATATGTTCGTAACAACGTGCTTGTTTGCTGAGTCATATTTCCGCCGCATTCATCAATTGCCCACTGACTAAGACATGTTCACCTTATTTTTGAAGATGTTCCAAACTTCTTATGTAACCTTCTTTCTCTTTATATTTCGTATGTTTGACTTCATTATAATAATATTTTAGGTTATGATTCGAAATTCTTTTGTTTGAAACTCCGCTGCTATCGATTGATGAATTTCGCTCGATTTTTAAATATTAGAAACATTTTAAATGTGTACACAAACATATAGTTGTCCCTATTATTTTGTTTGCTAAAACAGAGATGTCGTATTTTTGTGTGTATTTCTTCATGTGTTTTAGCAATAGAAACTGACATCTTTCATTATGTTATTATGTAAATCCTTTACATAATGATCTGTGACGTCATTTAATTAAGTAACTAAAAAAGGTATTGTTTTTATTTTAATTCTTCAAAGGAAGTTCTTAGCATTCCAGTACAGTTGGACGATATAAATTATCGTGGCGTTCGCAATGCGGAAGATGTCGCCAATTGCCACACCGAACTGCTAACAAGATGTCTTCCTATTCTAAAATATCTAAAATGTAACGGTTGCTTTTGCATTCCTTAATTAAAATTAAAAAAAAATAGTTCTCTTCCAGTCAGTATTTTATTATCTTTGTGTATATTTAAAATACAATCACTCGTTAGATATCAAAATTATCAACAAAAATGTCCACATTTTTTTTAAATTTATCTTAATGTATCTGGTATTATCGCCAATTACATAATAAAGATATAATCGTCTATGTAAATATAATAAAAAAACAAACACATAGAGTTGAAGCTCCTCCTACGCGGTATTTGTGTCAACGCACGAATTAGTCTAGACGGGTTAAATATATCTGAGTACAGTCAACGTCATTATTAAAGACATATTTATTTTGCTCTTTTTGTAGTTGAAATAGATAATAAATAATACATAAGTTTCTACTAATATGGTATACAGGTAAAGGTAAAAGACGAAGGTATTCGAGGCCGTTTAGACTTCCGATTGCTGCATTTATATTGTCAAGGGAATAATATCCGATGATTTTTAGTAAATTACTGATGTAGTTCTGATAGGTTAAATGTGGTAATTGGTTTTTTTGTAACGTCAAGATTTGACTTTCGTACTGGCCAGTACTTTAATGAAATTTTAAATATATTTTAATTTAAACTTTCCCCGCGAAATTGTCGTTAGTCGTGTCCATTGCCAGTTTTGTTAGTTACATACTAACGATTTGGCATACTGGTCATTCAATCTATGTTTAATATTCGTTTTATTGCATATATCTTATTCTCCAATTGTATATCGATCGAGTCTATAAATACAAGACCATAATAAACTGAGTCGAGAAGACGGCGAGCCCACGCAGTGAGAAACGCGCCGCCGCCCGATTCACGCGGCCAATACGTCACTATTCTTACTCAAAACATCGTCATTTTATCAAAAATATTTAATATCTGTCTCTTTCTAAATCGATAATACGAAGAGAGCTCGTGCTACATTTTTCCCGCCAACGCCCATCACACGTCACGCACTCTAGCCCGATGAGTTAAGACAATGGATTCCCACATTATCACTCCAACTATGACGTTCCGTTGATTCATCTAACACCTACTAATTTCTTATCATCGATCGGTAAATTCGACTTTATTTTTTAAACAATAACATCCTCGGTCTAGTTGAATTTGTGAATCGCGTGATTGTAGATTTAGTGCAATCGCAACGTTTATTGAATGCGCCAAAGTTTGTGTGTTTAGGATTTGAAACTACAATGTGATGTGCGGAAATTCACGGTCTTTGTTTGTAAATCGCTTTCATTATAAAAATAATAAAGTCAACGGTCTATCAATGTGTGTTATGGGGGCGCTATGCCGATTTCACGCCAAATACGTTATAGGTGAGTACTTTCATAAATTGTCTAACAATAAGTAGAGATAGTTCAAGCGAAATACTCCGATCTATAATTTAGGAATCGGGAATTCACTCAGCGAGGTTCTACCAATGCGTATATTTTTTGTTTTATGACAATAAACTTATATGAGGTCATATTCAGTGAAACAAGTTGGCCGGCAACACATCTACAGTTCCTCTAGTGTTGGAGATGTCCATGGGTGTCGTTGATCACCTCGGTGTTCCCGCAGCTCGTTTGCCCCCTTCTCTTATAAAAGAAAAACAAAACTAATAAAGCCTAAAACGTACATACAATTTTACAATATATGAGATATCAAATGATTCCCTTTTATTTTTTTATTATTAAAACATCGATATTACGTAGTGTCCCTCCGAAATCACTTGATGTAACAACCTGTCTTCACAAAAGACCGCTATTAACGTTAATTGCTATGTAACGTTAAACGCGATTTATATCTGCTATAAATCACTGTTTGTGTGCACGCAGCTTTACAACGACCACACATGAATGAACTTGATGCGGGTAAAACATACGAACACCGATTCCGTTATTGGACAAACTTTTTACATAAAAACTATTTGCGGTAAATTTTTTATTTATTTTAAATACTGATTACATTTTATTTATTTATATTTTTTAAGCTACATGACAATCTACACAATCAATACTCGATGTCTTACAAGAGGTAATACAACAAACCTTACTGACCCGGTGGGCAAAAGTGAATCTAAAATAGTTATAAAACCACTACATAAAGGCTTTACTCTCTTCAGTGGAATAGGCATACGTAGATCCATAAAAAAATTAAATTTTTTGTGTCCCTATACATCCTTAATCTAAAGTATGTCTTGTCATACATCTGTTGTGCGTTGTGTTGTGTGGCCGTTAGATGTCGCCTTCGTCACAGGACATTCACCCTGCATCGAGTTAAGTGGCATCGTTAGAAACAATCAACTGATGCATAAACATCCTGTCTTCAAGTATAACATGGCTTTAAATTTAAAAATATATTTACTAAAGTATCCCAAAAATAATTCGGTTGAAAGTGCAACAACATATATTATAGTAAAACGTGATAGGAAGAGTCCTTCTGACTTCTAATAATTGTCGATAGTTACCCGTAGTACAAGTTCCGATTCATATAACTGAACCGTTGTTACAATTCAATCAGTTGATCTTTATTTGAATTATCAGATCTGTATAATACTAGCTTAAGCCCGCGACTTCGTCCGAGCGGAGTTTAAATAAAATTAATAAATTAGTTGTCTATGTGTCCTGCTAAACTATGTTCTATATCTTTTTTTTCCAAAGAGGAATGCTTTATGCATACTCCGCGCCCCAGGGGGGGGGGGGACGCGGTAGTTATGTGGGATTCTCTTCCATAGCGGAGGCAGACCCACTAAACTTCTCTGTTCCTCCAACGCATCGGGACGGGACCACGGGCACGCTTTCGCTCTCGTCCGCGGCCCATGTTCTATATCTACGCCAAATTTCAGTGAGATCCGTTTGGCCGTTCCGGAGACACCTTCTAACATACATCTAAACATTCGCATTTATAACATTAGTAACATTTTTAATTATCAGATACATTATTTGTAGTAAAATATTCGACCTTGAATAAGTTTAAATCTAAAATTATTGTAATTTTGTCTTTGAAAAATTAATGGTGATTATTTTTGATGTTTTTTTTTTATTATTTAATGGTTGATTATCTGTTTGTATTCGTGACTTAACAATGACAGGAAACTATAAAAATCAATCTTATGTAAATAGTTTTTATCCGTTATCTAATATACAAATTGGTTTCATGTATTACGTTCAAAAAATATATTAAGTTTTATCTTGTTCTGTCAAAATTATAACAGATTTGTTTTCGTAAAGTAATCTTTGTTGTGTGTATCCGTTCCGATAATAATCGTATTTATGTTGTTAACAATTTTTAAAGGATTCAACACTTTTGCCCTCACTCTAAGTTAGAAAGCTAATTTTATATTTATATTAATAAATATATCGTCCCCGTAAATGCAATTAATAAAGTGCCATTTTGGACAAATCGCGTTTTCATTGTTTTCTTATCGAGGAAAAAATAACGCATATTCTAGTCGAGCAAATATCTTGATCCTTGAAACCGTTTTAAAATATGGCCATTTTTGTGTTCCTGGTAGAAAAATAAATATTTATACTAAGATTCTATGGTGGACAGAAAAAACATGTTTGGTTAAAAAGTAATTATAACAATATTTCGAGTCGGTGCAATTCACTTTCATACTAGTATCCAACCTTGGATACAATTACCAAGACTAAGAAAGTGAAGACGAGTCTCTTTCAAGTATCAAGTCCACAAGGTCCCCTGCTTGCAAGGCTAGTGTACACTGTCATCAAGGCTGACAATTGTTTGACAACAATGACGTCACCGGATTAATGTTGAAGACGTGTTATTTACAAATGACAGGAAGAGCGTTAATGGATAATACGTGGTTAAACATCCTACTAAATATTATATCTGATTAAAGCATTCGAAAGGAAGGATTTATCCGGCTTAGTAAATAATTATTTAAGAATTTTTACGCTGAATTCGTTTCAAATTATTTAGTTTCTTGTGGAAAATATTGCATGATTTTCAATACATCGAGGCAAAAACTTACCTGCCATGTACATTTAATTGATAAAAAACGAATAGCAGCAGTTTTTAAACCAAAATCCTCGTTTAAAACATATTATCATTGTTTTGTCAAAGATGATAGGGATGACGATATGTTTAAAGAGATTCTGTTCTCAGAAGCCAACAGTTAATAACTCATTTTTAACATAAAAGCAATGAAACATTCATTAGTGCCTTGTTGGCGCTCTCATCTCGTTTCAGTAACCCAGCAGTGGTTTATTTCAGTCGGGACTTAACAGGATGTTGTTTGTTAGTTGTACGATCTATTTTTAGCTGAGAGAAATATACCAATTTGAAACGCTCACAATCTTGTACGACGAGTGAAATTAATATCGAAAAAAACCTATGTATAAATTATTCTTTTATTGTTTTCATTCAGTTCGAATGCCTGTGATATTATTGTAATATTAGAGTCAATTTAATCTTGTTTAAATGACTCATTAAAGATATATATACACGTGTTTTAGAATATTCATAAAATAAAACGCAAACGCATATTATTAGATATTTATTTTAACAATAGATAAAAATATTAACACGAACGATGTTATTGAATTCTTTTTCAGTTATGAATGACTCTGCTTTTGAAATTCTAAGCATAAAACTTTTATCTAACCTATATTCAAATCAATTTACCTGAATTGTAGATATCAAAAAAAATCTTTGCGTTATATTAATACTAGCTGTCGCCCGTAACTCCGTCCGCGCGTTATTAAAAAAACATAATTAGTAACCTATGTGTTCTTCCAGGCTATGTTCTATATGTATGTCAAATTTCATCGAGATCGATTCAGCCGTTCTGGAGATACCTTCAAACAAACATCCATCCATCCAAACATTCTCATTTATAATGTATGTATGAAATATGATTAAATACAACAATATAGCTATAATAAAAACTAAAATTATTCGTTACTTTTTAGCTGACTCTGTTCCACAGTTCAGTGTAAAATAAACATCGTACAGTTTGTTTTGTTTCTGTCATTTGCTAAATAAGTTAATGCAATGAGTCAGTCTGCCTTATACAGCTCACTCGGACAAAGTCAGTTCATCTCTTCTGGCTGTAAAAATTCTCTTTTCTTCGATAAATATATATAATCAATATTATACTCATTGCTTTTGTCCGCGAAACGCGTCTAATTAAAAAAATCTAGTAAATATAATCTATGTTACTCAATGATAATATAGTTTTCTAATGGTAATTTTTTTTATGAAAAAGGTACAGCATTTTTATTTGTTACATACAAAAATACAAATCTTTTCTTTTTATACAATTATTAGAATGTCACACATATATACAATATATATACAAAGTTATCTATAATAACCATGAGTACGTGGTAACTTATACTTAAATTAACTCAGCAAATGAGTTCTTTAACCTCCACGTTTTTGCAGCCCTATGTCCGTGTCCATTAGTTTTTGTGATGGCAACACAAAAACAGATCGGCACATCAACAAAGGTGCGCCTGAACCCGCCTCGCAAACACTTCTATATTATAATAAAGACATTAATTGCGAATGTAATGAAACATCGTATAGCAACTCAAAAATATCTCCTTCTTATATTGATCTTTTTAATGAAAAATATGTCAGAGTATTAAGGAGTATATAAGAAATAAAGTCGACGATTTAATGTATTATATATTATATAATGTATGCCACCACAGTAACTACTTAAAAATATTATGTTGTTTAACGTATGTCTGTATTGTTTGTAGAGGGCGAGCTGGAAACGGAGTGGTTGCAGGCGGCAGGGCTGGGCTCGCTGGCAGCACCGGCACGCGCTGGTCTCGAGGTGACGGAGGCGCAGCTGGGCGAGGCGGTGCGCCCGCTGCCACGCGACCAGGCCGCCGCCGTGCGCCGCCGCGTGCGCCGCCTTAACCGCACTGTGCGTCGCAAGCGCGCCGCCTCGCGTGCCCGCAAACCAGATATCAGAGATGTCTTTAGAGATTTAGAGGTTTGTTCATATTTAATGTATTAACAACTTCATAACTTTATACATTTTATTAACCAACATTGTTTTTAAACGATGTTAAAAAAAGAACATCTGACAGATACAGATCGATTGATATGTCAAACTCAAAGAAATCAGCCGCGCTTTGTTTTTTTTTCACGACCCGTCATTTCGAATAAGTTGTACACGCAGTGATACATTCTGAAATATTGTAACGGTTCTTTGTACGTCATATTTTATAATTAATTGAGGAAAAATTATTGCAGAGTTCAATATTCTTATAAATAACATTTTATTTATCAAAAACATTGGTATTTTTTAATTGGCACATTCGTAAACTTGAATTCAATTATGTCATACAATATTCATATAATACTGTTGCGTGTCAACATAAATAATATTACGCAACTCACTCCATCTGTCCTTAAAGTGCACACGCAATTGTAACAATCGGTAAATATTTGTGTCCACATAACCTAAATTCTGTAAAGTGCATTTAAATCAACTGTCAAACTGTTTTGCTTTACAAATGTCGCAATACTGACACCGTAAACAATTTCATGTAATTATGACATCACAATCTGTGCCATAATCTGGTATTTTGTTACGTTTATGTTTGGTAAAAACACTCATATTTTTTATTCTCACTAACTCTTTTGTGTAAAAATGTTTTTTTTATTTATCGTTACACCGAAAATTTAACACATTTTTACTCTATTACCTGACATAACCATAGAGTCGTTGTAATTTCTATTTTCTAACGTAAGCTTTCCTACTGTTATTGTTTGCTGTTTATGGCTCTGACTGATTGGTATGGGAACAATAGCAAATGTAACTCTCTCTTTACCTTATGAAAAGATTTAGAAATTAAATTAGAATCGTAATATCATTTGGCTATCGACCTATTAATAGTTCAAATTTACGATAGTACATTGTCACAAATAAATATTGTATTTGTTTAATTTATAACCTCAAAAAGATTATCCACAATTAAGTCGAAATAAAACACATATTGTCATCTCTGTTTTGTGAAAGACAATGACAGGGATGACGATATGTTTTATACGATCAACTCTATGCCGGTTCGGTACAGGTTTTCGTCGTCTTTCTACTATTTTATATCTATTATTCTTAACTCAGTCTTCAAATTCTTTGACACAATTCATATTTGAAGTTGAAATTGTCTTATTAATAAAGATTTTGATCTTTATTATGACTTATTAAGTATGTTAAATATATGTCGTCCATTACTGACCGATTTTGATACGACGATTACTTAATTTTATGTCACTAGGAATCGTTTACGTACTAGTAAGAAATCATTACGGGCTTCAAGACAAGAGAACCCGTTTCGATAGGATTACCAACAGTTTTCAATTCTATGGAAAGTTTAGTTTTATTGGACCTATTTCTTTCCTAATAACTAAGATTTGAGGTGTTCTAAAACTAAAGAAAAGTTTATTTCTGGGTATTATATCAAACAAAAATAAAAGCCATTTTCGTTGAATATTTCAAAGCCTGTTTAGTTTCTCTCTTTTCTGATTCATAATTGAAAAAGTTTTTAGTATTAATAAGTCGTTAGTAATGTTTAAAAATATTTAAATCTTACGTTTGGGAAAAAAACATTTTCTATGTATGGAAACACTAGTTAGACGTGAGCAGGACAATCCATTTTGACGCTACGATAAGTAAGAACGTCAGTCATTAGATAAATATGCAATTAAGAGCAAGAGGGACTTCAAATACAATTTGTAAACAGTTTTCGAACATAATGTCAACTAACGCGAACGTATCTCGCGTGTACAGTCACGTTCGATTTATAGGCTAAATAATTGGCCGGAAATGTTCTGATAACCGTTTATATTTAAAAGAATATTGCGAATAGTCGATTCAATTTAAATCATTCGATTTTTAAATTACTTTAACCCTGTGTCATATTAATAAAACAGTGATAAACATACCAGTGTTGTATTTGAAACAGATTTAAAAAAAGAATTAAATACGTAAAAATGTTCAGTTGTTAGTCACAATTACAAAAGTGCGTTCCGCGCTCGATCTGCGTTAACGGACGTAGTGCCGACACAAATTGCCTCGCGTCCGGCAAATTTCAAAATTGAATTGAGTGTTTTGTACACTAAGTGTATTGGTTGTTCAGTGAGCATTGTGCTGTGATGATGTTGTGATGTGAACACGCGTGTGGCAACATGATTTGTGACACCGTGCGCGTCAAGGTTCGCGAGAAGATGGGGAGCTGCAAGGGACTGGCGATGGTGCGCTCCTACATCGATGCATTGGTATGAAGTCAAACTCTATTGGCAAGAGACATAGCATTTGACCTTTGCCTTAAAAAAAGAAATCGATTACACTTTAAAAAAAAGTGGCTGTACGACAACATTACCTTGGCCTTAAAAAAAAGTTTGGTTATGTGATCTGTCAAAATTTAGATACTTTTGTTAACCTATCAATTAAAAAGAAATACGTTTCATCCAATACAACTAAAAATGTATTAGGCTGTATAAACTTTGCCGTAATTTATTTGCATTGGCTTCAACAAAGTAACAACTGGTGTGAATGCCCTGCATCGATCTATCAAAAATGATAACCAAATCAGTTTACGATTAATAAAGTGACAGTTGATACGATACGAGATAACAGCGGCGTCATTAAAGTAAAAGTTATAATAAAATTAATGAACTAACTTGTAATATAATTTATAAATTTATTAGTTTTAATTGGCATTCTTCAACTCTTCAGAAAAAGAAATTAATTGTGACCATAATTGTGTTAGCAACGAAAAAATTTATAATTAATATCGATAAAATGTCCTAAACTTTATACAAGTATTAATTACGTCTTAGCTTCCTCAAAAATTCCTTCAGAATTGGGAGACATTTTGTAAATTAAGCTAAAGAACATATTAAACTAATGTCTCTCTAACTTTATTGTTTCTACATTTATGTTTTTCACAAACGTTCTACTAAATGTTTTCTATTTACAAAGTAGGCAAAGGATGCGACCGACGGTTTCTATTCGTATACAAGGCAAAATAACTTAAAGAGTTTGACGGTACTTGATAAGTCTCTTCCAGATGTAACTTCATTTGAAGTAGACACGCGGAGGTGAACGCACGTGTTTACTGCGACCTTGAGATGCTTGATGTTCAGTTCAATGCTACCAATCATACGTTTTGTCACTTCCTGATCTAAAAAAAACACAAAGAGATAGACGACTAAAAATTAAATAATAGTTTTTTAATACTCCATAGAATGTGTTCATCATAGTAGTGTATTCACTTTTTCATATTTAAAACTGTCTGCAACTTCCGTAAATGTTACATATATATTCAAATGGTCCATTTTGTTTATCCATTTAGTTGAATAGATCTTTGATATTGAGAGATCCTGAAGAGTTTAATATAAGATTTTATATCCATTTATAAATTCTTTACTGAACTGACTTCCCTTGAATATGTCTGACGTGAAACGATTTCGCTTGAATTCTTGTCCATTACGTATTTGTTTGTAAATTTCGTAATTGAGGCATCATTAGTGTTTCCACAATAATGCAAAATAATCGAAAAAATGTCACAATGAAACATACATATAAATAATAAAAAAATAAAAATAATAAATATTTATTTGTGTAAATAATTTTATAAAATCATTGCTTATGGAACGAAGATAATGCTATAAATAAAATAAAATCATAAATTACTAAGAAAATTAATCTTAAATTCACTATACTTAATCCAGTGTAAAGATTAGTATGATCATTTTACATAGCTTATAATAGCGATGTATAATAAGATGCAAACCAAGTCGTTAGTGGTTACATGATGGCTCGCGAGTATAGTGCAGCGTGCAGCATGCGTGATGATCCACTTCATTACCTTTCAGATATCGAAAAAATCACACTTCGCACTTCATTTTATTTACGTACCAATTTTATAGTTGCAATTAAAAGTTACAAGCTTCTTATCAAAACAAATCTGAGAACAAGATAAGTAAATCAAAAGAAACATCAAAATCTATGTGATTTATGGTTCAAATTCAGATGTAGGTAAACTACTTTACTAGTTTTCTATAAGATTCTGTTCCCATCTTTCATTAGCAACTTTCCAAGATGTTATCGTTAATATCGAATAGGGTTGCACGCAAAGGTTTCACGTCAAAGGCGACCAATACTAGGTCAAGAAACCTGTCCGATGTATATGGGCAAAAGAGTGGCTTGCGGTCGGAAGTCTCTGTATCCGGTGCTCGCGGGGCGCAAGGGTGGGGTAGGGACGGGGAGGGGAGGGGCTGCATGTCAATGTCGAGTCGGACCGGTCCACTGACCACATCTCGTCTGCAACGCGTTTCCACTTATCAGAATAGTTATATAAACAAGTTCTACTTCTCCGGAAGGAGTTTAAATGGCGTACGCGCGCGTGGCAACCCTAATGGTTAGGGTTGTCAAATTAGTAAAAAAATAAATTCACTATAAACTTACGATCGGATACCAGATACGTAAGAGCCATAATTTTACATTTTAAGTTGGTATGGCCAGTATTAGACATTGTAAGCATCATATTTATAACATTTCACCTAATTCAGAAGGAAATTCACAAGTTCAATTGTATAGCAATTTTTATTTATGTAGTATCAGTTCGTAGTGAACAAACATTTTGTTTTATATTAATAAAATAGTTTAATTTCTATTCCGAGCCATTCCTGTGATTTTAATATTCGAGGTATGACCGCCGTGGTGGCATTTCAACGTACACACACGGTTTGATTTAATGCCTAGAGAAGCGCTTCTCGGAAGCTTCGGTGTCATTCAACCTGATGCACTCCTACATTATGTGACATGCAGCGCAAATGATAAGACGATCCCATGCTTAGAATATCTTTAAAAGGATTAACGAATGAATAATCATGAGGTAACATTATTAATAATAAAATATATTACTTTATTTCTTTGTAATTTAATTCTACTTTCTATTCACTTTTATCACAACTATAAAATCTTTCACAACTTAATTAAACCGTGAATGAATTTATAAATAAATTAAGTTAATCCCCTTTGATTATTGTGTTTAAAAGAACACGTGTTTTTTAATATCAAGATACGTTCAACACACAATACACAAATTAACCATAAGCGTGGCCCCGATAATATCAATTTGCGAATAAGTGTTTTATAATTGTTGCGTCGGGCGAGCGGGCCCATGACCGAAATAACGCGAGGTTGACTTAATTGTGGGGACACGTAACGCGACCCGGGACCTCGCCACAACTATTTTAATTGTCCTTAAAAACTCCGTACACCTTAATAAACGCCCACGTGGCGAAGTCATACGGGTAATATGTAAATCATACAACACAAATAGGGTAACCGAGATAGAACCTCTGGATCAACACAGGATTTAGCAAGCGAAATAATAGTACTAGTAAAAACGCTTCTCAATTTCCTCGACCAAAACATAAAAAGTAAGAAATGGAATGTTATGCTTTCTTTGAGATGTCCCCACATCTTCACATCAATTATAACGCGAGTTTCTCTTTCCATTAGAGTGAACAATCGTTAGTTTTGTTTGTTTTGCGGTTGGACCATTACGAGTGCTGTTACCACAACTTTACCCTTTCTTTTTGGGCTTCACACGCTACTGATAAAGCTTTCTACCTATCCCTTTTACAAGTGAACTTTTAGTATTATAATTTGTTGATAGAGTATTGCTATAACTTTATACTCCGGCTCAAAATCAGAACTAAGCGAACACAACGTAGCTTAAAATAATGTTAGTACATACGTGAAAGGTATGAAGTTCGAACCGTTTGCAACGGAACGCATTCTTTTAAATACGTTTATAATATTTTGTATCCAGTACATGTCATTATCCGACGATCTGCCTTCTTGTTGTGATTGTTCATGGAATAAAAATTCTCTGTAGAATCGAGGAAATAGTGTAACATATCGGCATGCGATTACTCATCTTCAGACGTGGGGATAATAAATCGGAACAAAGGTGTTTTGTTACGTCTACATAGACAAGGGCTCATGTCACAGTTAGCCGGTGACTCATTTACCACCGCTTTGCCACTTGAGCAGTCCAGTGTTCAGGTTTTCTTCTATGGTTGTTTTTTATTAAGTCCTAAACAGCTGCACCCCATTTTAGTGAGGTTTTCAGGCAACCTTGACATTGTGACAAGTGGTCTAAAATTTGATTTGTTTTTTTTTTATCTCATTCGTTCGTGACATTTTTCGTTCGTCCGTTTGAAGTTAGCGCGGGTCAGTAATAAATGGCATATAAAAAAGTGTATGTTTGTTGCAGAACTCTAGCGGCAGCGAGCCTCGGTCGCGCAGCGCGACCCCGGACTCGCTGGACTCGCTGCCAAGCGCCGGCTCCGGCTCACCGCCCGCCGAGTGGGCCGACGCGCCTACGCCCACAGACTTCGTGTAAGTACAAATTACTTAAGACATTAGGGCACTTTTTCATTAGTCATTAGAGACCCGCGTCTGCGATGCTGGAGATTTCTGTTCACGCATGTCATAGGGACCAATTTCACTATTGGCATGCAACTGATGTAAAGCTTATAAGCTTTATTAAATATATTTAATGTTTGCAGCGACACATACCAGGGCGGTGGTCACAGTGCGCTGGGCCGCACGCCGTCGGCGCCGGCGCCGCGTCGCGCCCGTCTCTCTCCGCCCGGACAGCACTCCCCGCCCGCCTCGCAGCACTCCCCTCCCGCCCCGCACCGCGGACACGACCTCTTCAAGCCCAACGACCTGCACTGGGCTGACATTGCTTCTAACACCGGTAAAGTTTCCAGATATAAGTCAAATCAAAGTAGCTTATCGGTTTTCTGCATTGAAACTCACTTCTTACGTAAAGACCACTTCACGCCAGCAATAAAATGTATTCCTGATCTAAAAAATTCAACATCTATGTGACCTGTGTGGCTGTATATTTCCATCAGTAATCTATAAATTTTACATTGGTGTTGTTTGCAGAGGGCATAGAACTCCTGGGCTACCAAAGATACGGCACAGTGCAGGGCCCGAGGATAGGCAAGGAGAGAATCAACGGGTCCATCCTCAAAGATAGTGATCCTTTCGTGTACGTATATTTAAAGTCTTGTCTGATTATTATCAAAACAACATTCCCAACCAAAAAAGAACAATGGGCCAAATAAGTACAAGGCGGCTACGGAGATGAGAGTGACAAAATCATCGATTCGAATCAGGTTAGTAGTCAATATTGTGTATTGTTGCAGCAAGAAGCACGCGGTGGTGTCGCGCGCCAAGAGTGTGGCGAGTGCGGGCAGCGCCGCGCAGCAGCCGCTCAGCTTTGAGCATAAGTTCAACCTCGACCGGCAAGTCCTCAACCAGGAGGAGGTAACTACAATAATACTTGAATAATAACTACAAATATATTGTGTTCACTTTTATAAAATTCTGGGATATCATATGGATGTGGTATTGAAGGAATGGCCGGAGGAGGGCAGCACTGTGGACATCGAGTGCGTGGCTGAGCCGACACTGAAGAAGCTGCAGCCGCTGGTGTGGCTCGAGCTCACCGCGCTCTTCGACCGCTACTCGCTGCCCTTCCACAAGCGCAAGCCGCACAAGAAGAAGAGGAAAGAAGGTAATTATGTGAAGACCGCCAGCCATTAATATCCACAACTCTCGAAGGCGATGTTCAAGAAAAGGAGCGGAGGTATTAAGAAGGCTATAGGTAGTTCTTATACTTGAGACGTTTTTCAGAAGGCTCAGTGTTCGGGGTGTCTGTGGAGACGCTGCTGCGAAAGGACATGATCTTGTGGGAGGAGACGTGGAGCTCGGTGCCGAGCGTGCTGCGCGCCGTGTCCGCCGCGCTGGCGCAGCGCTGCGCCGATGAGGGCCTGCTGCGCGTGCCCGGCAACAAGCATAAGGTACACCAACACTCAATCAAATAACATAATGAAATCCCAAAAATTACCAATGACCTATTTTTATATGTGACTTTTGTACATACTCGTTCTCAGTTTTTTCCGACTCGCAGGACCTTTTGGTTAATGTTTCGTGGGTGTATAAAGCGATGTTTCGTGTGCAGGTGGAGGCGCTGTGCCAGCTGGTGGAGCGCGAGTGGTGGTCTGAGCGCAGCGCGGTGGAGGCGGCGCTGCGGCGCGCGGCGGGACACGACCTGGCCGCGCTCTACAAGCGACTGCTGCGCGAGTTACCGCAGCCGCCGCTCACGCAGGAGCTGATGCGCCTCTTCTACCACACGTACGCGCTCAGCGGCGGCACGCAGGCGCGCGCCCTCAACCTGCTCGTGCTGCTGCTGCCGGCCGAGCAGCGCGCCACCCTGCGCGCCGTGCTGCGCCTCGTGCGCGCCGTCGCCGCGCGCGCTGACCGCAACAAGATGAGCGAGCACAACGTCGCCATGATCATCGCGCCCACGCTCTTCCCGCCCAGGTACCGCACGCCCCACACAGATCATCTTACTATCGAAGAGGAGGAGAAGGAGTCTTTCTGCTGCTATGTTATTATACTTTAGTACTAAAAGCAAGCTTGTTTATTTTCTCAGTCTGCTGATCAAGCCGACGGACAGCCTGGAGACGCAGGTGGCGACGGCGGCCAACAGCTGCGTGGTGACGGAGGCGCTGATGCGGTGGGCGGACTCGCTGTGGCTGGTGCCGGCCTCGCTGCTGGCGGCGGCGCAGCGCAAGCCGCGCGCGCGACATCACCACACCTGAGCACTGCGCAGAGCCCACAGCGCACTGCTCACTGCGCAGAGCCCACTACGCACTGCTCACTGCGCACTGCGCACTACTACTACTGGTGCGTTGGACTTAGTGCAATTAGAAGTCGAGCGAGACTTGTATTTATTTATACTAGTGAAGTGAAGTGAAGTTCGGTTGCAGCGACTTGTGTTACTTTCTGTCAGTCGATCCAAAGAGTTTGCAGCAGGTATTACGTGTAAAAAAATACATTACGATATTGTTATATGGTTTACATCCCAATTTATATGTATATTTTACTGTCCAACAATATAATTTTGTTATTCATAACAGAATGTTGGTCAGAAATATTATCGGAAATTATTTGGACATTTGAGGCAAAGTTATCATCAGATATTATCATCGAATCAACAAAATGTTGCAAATTGTTATAAATTGGCCATAACAATGTTTATTTTAATATCACAACTTTTATTTGAGAATGTATTATAAAAGACAAGAATCGAATATAAATAGATAATTCTATTATGTTAAGTTTAGTTTAAGAAATGCAGGCAGTTTGCGTGAAAGTGACTCGTTGTGTTTTGTCTCGCATTATTACCAATATGTTAAATATCTAAGTCACTATTTGGATAGATATAAAATAATTATACATAACTTCTTTAACTTTAACCAACTTCCAATATGTATGTTCTCAACCTATATGTTATAACACAATATAAACATTCTTAGTAATATTAAAGTCACAGTGAAATAGAATCCTAGCTAACTATACTTTTAGATTTAATCTTAAAATTATTATTGTTAATATTTTTCAGAAGACATATCGAGAAATATCAGAATATTGAGGCTTTTATTTATTATTTGATATGGAGAAGAAAATTTTCGACACATTCATTTTTATTTTTAATTATCAGACATCAGATTTTAGAACATTTTAGGACTTGTATATGATACAGTTTTGGTTTGAACTTTATTTTGTCAAGATATTTCTTTTGGCTATTATTTCTTAAATATAAAGGCATAGTATTTGATTGTAAAAAAGGAACAAACTTTGTATTGTTTATTAATGCATTTATTTAAGTGAATAAAGATGCCAAATATTCATTTTATTTGAATTTTAGGCAATTGAGAAATAATATTGAAGTTCATTCCAATCTCCTTTAAATTTTCTTATAAAATTAATTCATACAATTTGTTGGAATTAGGTGCCATTGAAATTGGTTGACTTGTAAGTTACCATGTTGCGGATTAAATTTCCACTGTTGAAATATATGCTATAAAAACATTTTGTCATCTCTCTTATCCTCTTAAATCGTGTTTAACATATAACCTATTTAACAGCGATAATAATTTTGTCTAAACAGGCAGTGTAAACCTGCTGTTACAATAAAGGTACTCGCCCATTGATCCGCGCTGGAAGCACCGCACAAACCGCCCTTAACGGATTGCTTGATGATAAATGCCGTCTTTCGATGCGGGCGGCGCAAATAATGGACGCAGTACTATGTAAAATCCGTTGCGGGCCATGCGTGCGGTGCGTCCGGACGCGTAACTTAATACGGTTGTAAATTGGTGCCTTATGAATGATATTTCCCTGATAAAGTATTAGTAAAATTTCTGTTTATTTTCTATGTAAATATTACTTTGTAGTTGTGGTCTCGTATGTTTTATGAGGAGGTGACGAGACACGCAAAGACTGACTTGTGTATTATTGTATATTTGATATTACTTCATAAGAATATATACTTCCACTTTTAAATACAATATACATATTTAATATTGTTTTTAATTTAATCTCGTATCCCTATGATCCGAATACACATAATAATGACTCTTTCTGAAGTCTTCTGAGGTCTTTAAAGTGGTTGACTTATTTTAACTTAATTACAATAAAAGAGTTACTAAATAAAGCCAGTGCGGTTGATTATGGCCACATCCCTAACATAGGTATGTGCTCCAAGCCTCAATGTTGGGATTTATATGGTACTGACAGCTAAGAAAAAAAGAGGTAATGAGTTTCATTAGACAAACAAGACACGAAAAATAAGTTATTAAAATGTTTAATCTTAATATTTAAAGTTCTTAATAAAATGTATAGCTTCATTTTCACCAGCAACTAAAATATTACCTTTGTTACAATCAAAAGAATTTAAAGGTTTGAAAGATTCCAATAGTGTATTTGTTTGTGTTGTATTTTTATCTTGCAGAGCGATCCAGTTTTCTGTAGTCTTTGTGTTTTTCATTACAGCCTCCATATTCCATTCCCACAGTTCTCCAGATAATGAACTGGTGAGGAGCTTATTGGGATTCTCTGGATGGAATTTCATCTCCGTTACTCCGGACGGATGGGCTTTTAATGTAGAAGGGAATGTGTTTACTCGTAAATCCCACATAGCTATTTCCCCTGATTCACTACCCGCTAGGATGTAATATGGTTGGGTTGGATGATTGATGATGCATGTTGCTGCTAACTGGTCACCACCAAATAGAAATGAGTGTGTTGGCTTGTTGTCTGATGATCGGAGGTCCCAAATCTTCATGTGACCTCGTAGATTACCAGTGATTACCTGCAGTCAGGTAATAGAAATGTTAATCTTTTAAAAAATACAAAGTGTTGACAATATATACTCTTAAAACATGAAGATAAAATATTTTAAATATCATATACAGGATTTAAAGTAATAAAACTATACTATACCTCATTATGCTTAATAAAGCAGACTGAATGTAAGGAGCAGCTATCAGCATCTGTTATAGTCCTGGTGATGTCTCCTCTGCGACTGTTCAGTATGTTCACATTGCCATCTTCACCCACTGTGGCTATATCACCCTCCATGGTGGCTAATGATGTACAGGGACATGCTCGCCCACTGTACAATATAATAAAAGAGTACCGCTAAAATAATCAATACCATTCCACATCTATTTAAACTGACTTATTTACATAAGTATTATGTGAAAAAGGGAAAATTAGGAAAAATCTTGTACCACAAAATTGTCATATTGATTTTTAGCAACATAAAAATGATAAATTTAACATATTTTAACACTTACGCAATTTTGTGCAAGTTATTCCATATAAAGACTTCTTTTAATGGAGTTTTTCTTTCATATTCACTTATTTGCAAAAGTCTAACTTTTCCATCTGACGTTGAAACTGCTATTACATTTTTACCCGTGAACTGAATTTCAGTAACATTTCCTTCAACTACGAAATTGGATACATACTTAGGGTATTTCACTTCGTTGTCATTTATATAATCTAGAACCCATACTTTAATGTTGTTAACCTCGTCATCCCAGCTGCCGGTAAAGAAACATTGAGCTTCTGCATAGTCTTCAGGTATCCATCGTATTTTCTTAATTTTTTGAGACACAAATGTAACTTTTATATTTCCGTCTTGTGCCATTTCTCTTATCGTATTTTTTTCTTATCCAGCAACTTATTTTAGATGATTTTAAGTTGAATTCCAGCAAATTATCAATTAAAAGAATTAAAAACGTTTGTCTGAGTTTTGTCAACAATTTTTCAACGAAAGAGGTTAAATTTTAAATTGACATTGACAATCAATTGACAAAGACAACTTTTTTGTCTATGATTTTTCAAAGATTAAAGAAGGGTTATAGGTTAAAATAAAAAATAAGATGTAAACTTAAGCAATTGTCTACAATCTTCACAATATTGGAGCTTCCTATAATTTAACTATTTAAGGCATATTTAAAACCAATTTTAAGTTTGAATTTTTATTTTGTGAGTCAAATAAATAATTTTTACTCCAATGACAACTATTGACAAGGCCATTTAATCTTTATCTTTGCCAAAAAGTGTCACCAGCATCCATATTTTATATACTCTTTGCCAGCATCTGCTAATGTGTCCTTTGCCTGCTCTTTCGAGTGAATAATAAAAACAACATCTGCTAATGTCAAATTTATCAAGTGCCTCTTATCAGATAATTTAAAAAGTATAAAAGTTAATTGCTTTATTTTTTAAATTTTACTATACAGTAATAATGGCTCGAGGTAACGTAATGCTTCCAGCGAAATCTGGAGAATTTATTGCTAAGCACGCAAAACACGTTAAAATTAATAAGGACAGCGGTGAAAAGTTGTGCAAAGAGGTAAATAATTTGTTTTAATGAAGAAGTATTTGCCTCAGTTACTTTGTGAATTAAGTAGCAGTAACCCTTTAAGTTAATCTGTTATTTTATCATGTTCAATTCTATACAAATACTGAATCAATAAAATCGTAATTTCCAGATACTGTCAAGTATAAAATGCAATCAGTTACAAATGCCAGAGACGGGGTCAGATTCAATTCATCCTTCAAAAGACCATCCGAGAGCAGTCGATTGGGTCTTTGTGACAGATGCACTGAATTTTTGTTTTTGGTCTAAGAATAAAGAAAAGCAATGGGTTGTTGATGGTTTCACTGGATATTTCGCTTTAGAGGCTGCGTTAAACAGAGCAATAAAGGTATAGTTTATAACACAACTGCTATAAAAGTTGAAATTGACCAAGATTTATGGTTTGCTTTGAAAAGGATTGTTACATTTGGGTATGTTAAAGAATCTATTTCTTCATATTTAAAAAGTGTAATTTACTCTGTAATATATTTACAGCTTTAGTGGTGATGGAAGCATATTGAGAAATTCAATTTTTCTTAAATTTATTTTGTTTTTTTCATACCAGAATGGTGTTGACATAACAAATCCTGAATTTTATTCCAAAATAACAAAAGAACAACTGCTTGACATCATGAAAGGGGACACTGATGTTATTATACCACTTTTCGAGCAAAGAATTTCTGTTTTACATGAAATTGGAAGTATACTCATTGAAAAGTTTAATAGTACATTTGAAACTTGCGTAAAAGAAGCCAATAAATCAGCGATAAAACTGCTTGAGATTGTTGTTGATAACTTTCCATGCTTCAGAGATGAAGCAATGTACAATGGTCAAGCAGTTTCGTTCTATAAGAGAGGGCAGATCTTAGTTGCGGATATGTGGAATTTTTTCAACGGTACTAGTTGGGGACAGTTTGAAGATATTGACAAGTTGACAATGTTTGCTGATTATAGAGTGCCACAAGTTTTGGTATACTTTGGTGTTATTAGTTATAGTGATGAACTGATGAATAAATTGAATAATGGTTTGTACTTTGTACCTTTTATGTATTTTTTTTTTAAATTTGAAAATGCATCTTATAAAATTTGACAAACACTATAGCACCATGAAGTTCCATTAAAGACAGATAAAATTTATAAAAAAAAAAATATTATTCTTTTTCTTGACAGATGAACTGCTTGAAAGTGGATCAGATGAAGAAATAGAAATACGCGGATGCTCTATCCATGCAGTGGAATTGCTGAAGAAGAGAATAGAAGATGAAATAAAAGAAAAACAATTGGCTGTATCTGTGCCTAATTCCAGTCTAATTGATTATTATCTCTGGTGCTACAGAAGGAAACATGTGCATGAGGTTGAAAGTATACCATATCATAAAACATTAGGTATATTTTACTGAACATGTGGGTATTTTGATGTTTTAATGTAACTGAGACAACTACTGTGAGACATTATTATAAACTAATTATATAAATGGCTAAACAATCATGTATATTTGTATATATAGGAGAAATACATAAGTTCGTAATTTATTTAATTCTTGAATATGAAAGTGAAGACAGTATTATGTTGAACATACTTTTGTAACAGAATAAGATGAATATACATATCTATTTATGTGATTATTTTAAAATGTATTAAAAATTATAAAAGTAAAAGATGTAAATATGTAAAAAAATAAGATTGATACAATGGAAGCATTTTAATAAAAGCCTTTTTCATGAAATATATATTTTTTATTATTACGGAATGTTATAACTTTAAGATACAAATTACATAGTTATTCCATAAAAAGGTAACATTTATGTCTATTTTAATATAATTTACATATTATTTCACAATCTTATGTTCTCACTGTAAATGTGATGAATATTATTGCTCATCTTAATTCTAAATAATTGTAACATAAAACTAAATTCTTGAATATTATGAACATGACACAACCCACAGAGGAAAAATATTACCCTACACACCAATTTAAGAAATATATTCAGAACTTTGGCATTAGCTAAATACACGAATAATGATTACAAAATGGCACTAAATATTTACATCATCCTAATGTTCGTAAACTCGTAAATAATAATAATTTAATGACACCGATTGAATGATCCAATGAAATAAAGATAAAAAAATCTTCCAACCGCACAATAGTATAACAGATCACCATTGTTTATTTATAATCTAGCCATTTCAGTGTTGCCAGCAATAAAAATTAAATTATGTTCGTTTATTCTCGTTCAAGTTGTAGTTTTGTGACATGAGTGATTTATCTACGAAAATGGTTTACAAACAGTAAACCAAATGTAGTATGACAATTTTTATTTATTTATATATAGAAACGACGATGCCTGCATCTGATTATCGTCACGAAAATGTTATTGATGTCTGTACAGATTAAATATTTTATATAACTTTCAAATCTAAATAATGAAAATAAATATTTGTAATATAAGAAAATAGAATATTTTATCTATAAATATCACATTCCAAATTAAAAATAATCAATGTATATAACTTATTTGCTCAATTTTGATTTTAAACTTTCAAAGAACGCTAATTTAGTTTTTATAGTACCAGGTTCGGGGACTGGACTACCCGGTCTACTAGATTCCTTTGATATCTCTTCTAATCCTTCGGGAATTGCTTTGGACCCTCCGGGAACTGTGAGTGGTGTGGCCAACGACAGTTTCAATTCGTCCCGGAATTCTTTAGAAATGCTTCTAGCTGTGAGACTGTGCATGTAAATTAGTTTGTTCGGTGGCTTGTCTGTTTTGTCTTCGAAGTTAAGCATGTTGTCTTTGCTCTTTCTGCGTCTTACGGGCTGTTGTGGAGGCTGAAAAATTACACGATGATTAGTACAAACACATTTAATTAATAAGTAATAAATGTGTGTTTACTTTTTTTATTAAGCAAATTGGTATTGCAAAGACATGAAAATTCAAAGATTTTCGACGTGATAAAACGGTAATTTCTTATCAGTTTAATACAATTTTGCATTTATCATACTGACCTTGGTAGATTCGTTCAAGTTCTCCATACTGACAAACTTTTTAGCTAATTCTTTTACGTTAGGAAGTTGCGACAGGATGTCCTCTATATCACTGATCTTGTTCAAGCTTTCTTCTCTTTCTATGTTTGTAATGGTTGTGTTTGTTTCCTCGCACGTATCAACATTAGTACTGAGGCTGTCGTTCATTTCCTCAGAGAGATTCTTATCTAGTATTTCAATGTTGTCATTGTTGTCAACCGTTTCTTCGTATCTGGGTGATACCTTATCATCGGGCTTACATTTTACAATCTCCCCGGTCTGCACGTTATATATTTTAATAGAATCTTCTAAACTACTAGTGCTTATAAATGAGTTTTCAATTATGAGATTTTCCGGTGATTTCTCTGATATATCGTCTTGATTGATTATTTCTATGGTTAACGGCGCTGTGTCTGGATTGTACGCGGATTGCAGGATTTCATCAAATTTACTATCAGTGTCATCGGCCATTGCAGGTTTTGCGACAAACAGCGTGTGCTCATTTGCATCCTCGTATTCTATTAAAATTTGGTCATTGTTGTTAGGCATCGTCGTTACTGATATTTGCATTTCATCTTTACCAGCGAATTTCGTGTAATGTTGATTTGTAGCGATTGTTGTGAACTGTTGTATCAATAGTCCCTGAAATACCGAAAATAGTAAAATAACATTCGTGTGTATGGAATTAGTCATTGGGTTATTAAATCAAACTTTTACAACATATATAAAGATAAGATAAAATTAAGGCTGAATTTAATCGATTCAAGAACTGCATTTAATCTTTATAAATTTTAAGCACACGCGTGTTTTTGAAAACGAATTGTGCTATCATGGTTAATATTAATATAATTTTTATACTTAAAATAGTGATTCTAAGAGGCGATGACGTCGATGGGGTGACCTAATGATTATGGTAGAAGCTAAAGTGAGAGCTGCAAAGGAAAATGTTTGTTATGAAGAGGTGCGTGCGACAGATTTTGTTAGTTCATTCGCAAGCATTCTATCTTGTTAGTCAAAATTCTGTCACCAAAATCGTACAACACTCACCACTAATCTCTTTGAGGATTACTGTGGAAATATTACTGAAAATTTTAATTAGAAGGACACAATCTATAAGTGCAGTTGTATAGATATTTGTAAATGTATTATGTGCCAAGTGCTGTTAGTCGGCAAAGTTTTTTTAAATCACACAGCATGCTTTCTTTTCACACGTAACAGACAAACCAAACGCGTCAAAAACGAAGATATTTTGAATTAATTGAAAATTATTGAATAGTCCTTTCACCATGTCAGTTTTTGAATAAAATTAACCGATATGTCAGAGTTATGTATTCTATATGTTTGTATCGAGCATAGGGGCAGAGATTCGGAGTCAGATTGGTTGATTTAGTTATATCTATATTTAAAATCAATGGGAGTGCTAAGAGGTTTGATGCTATTAAAGTTAACTAATGAAGGTGTCTATTCACCATAAATCTTTCTGAAAACCTTTGTTTAATCTAAGGCTTCCGCCGAAAGAATAATTTAGACCTGGTCGTCGCTTGGAGCGAATGTACAAGTCCTCGCTCTTCAACGTGTTACTTCGCCTAACAAGTGTGTAAGGTTCGAAAAGATCCTCTGTAATTTCTGGTGTTTTCGGTATTTTAAGTCTAACTATATCCTCGTTTTCCACATAACCATCACCTCGATCGCACACAGGTTTATGTTTTTGTCTTACGTTCCGGGTGACGTAATGTCGGTCTGTCGAGTGATTCTCGTCATCATTATCACTTGGTCTGTCGGGGTTTTCGAATATGGGATTTATAGCAAAGTTGGGACTGGCGTTTCTGGGGCTGAGAAATGCTCGGACGATGTTGTGATGAAGGGCGGACGCCTCGAGGTCGCTCAACGAACTGCTGGCACTTACAGGCGAAGCGAACTCTGTATCGAAATTGTCTAAACTGGTTGATTTATGAATTGAAGATATGGAGCTTGTATCACTGTTACACAAGCTGTTAGTTTTGCGCGCTCCAGATGACATTTTGGCGTCTTTTATGTAATAATCTCTGCCATATCTGTAAGAGTATTAATAAAATGTTATTTTAGATATTTCGCAGATTTTAATGTGTGCAATTAGTAGAAATTAAAAGTACCGTTTGTATTGAGGAATTTCTTCTGAAAGTACACGTTTCAAGCTTTTGTGTGTTGGACTTCTGATTTTACCATTAAGAGAATCGATTTCATTTTCATTTAAAGTTATCGAATGGATTTTGTTGGTTACTTCCTCGTCGATTGTACCATTATGCTTTCTTTCTTCATCATCAACTTCCTTCTCAATCACTGGATTAACTTGATTGACTTCGGTAACTTCAGCTTTAAATTCTTTGTCTTTACAAGTAAGCGAATCGAATAACGACGAAGTACTTTTTGTTGTTAATCTTTTTTGTATGGCTTCAGGTGAATAAGGATTATTAGGCATCTCGACATAGTTTAGCCATTTCTGCCGTTCTCTGTGTGCAATGGAACCTGCAAAGAAAGAATATTAAAAGAAAAATGTTCTAAATTGAGTTGATACGATTATTTTAGAATCTCATACTGACCTGGTATCAAATCATCGTTATCATCTATGGTAGTGCATCTGAAAAATGAATTGTTTATATTAGAACTATGGCTATAGAAGCTATTGATAAGTATATCTTTTGGGTTAATCTACAATTATCTACCTTTTAGTATCATCTTCAGCATGTTGTCTGCGCAGACTGTCGGCGTATCTCTGCACCGGCACTGCTACCGTCTCTTCATATTCACCGACTCGCTCGTGACGACTTAACGTATTTGTTGCTGTAGAGTCTGCGAATGTTTTTGTTACATTAAATTGAAAACCACAAAACTTTATTCCATTTGGCATCGATTTTTGAATTAATTAATTAATTTGTTCACAGTTTATTGTAAAATTAAATAATAGAAGAGTTATTTACCTGTGAAGATTTTTGAATTGGGACCATGATCAAGGTTTTCCAAACTATCTGCTTCCATTGCCTGTGATGTATCCAGATCTATCAATAATCCAGTTTGAGTGTCGTTGAATATAGATCTATGTATTTCTTCATTTAAATTAAATTCTGCTTTCGGCGGCGGTCCGCTTTCCACGTCAAGTAATAAAATGGAATCATTCTCCTCATTGTTGTTTACAAGATTGATATTTCCTTCATTGTCAAAGTCGGTTGAAATATTTTCATCTATTGTAGTGTCGTTATACTTCTCGTTGTCGTCTGATCCGATAAAAATCATATTATCAAGACTATCTGCTTCAAAATCATCCGTATGAATCTCAGGCACTTTCGCTTTTCCTCCAATAATATGTTTTGAGTCTAAAACTTTTTTGACATCGCTCTTGTAGTCTGCTGCTTGTTCTTCAGCATCGCTCGCATTATCCGAAAGATCGGTGGTGTCTTCGGCGTCTCTGTCACCTATCAGCGCTCGATAGTCTGCATTGGAGTTAGGGACCAGCATCGGTACAGGTACGGATTGTATCGTTTTAATTTTTTTCTTTTGAAACAGCCAGTTCTCCTCCCAAGATCCATCGACGGCCTGTATGTCACTGCTCGATATTTCGTCGAAGTCATGATCTTCGTTATCTATAAAAAGTTTAGGGTCATTTTACAAATTAATATTCAGGTAAGTGATGTGTATCAGATCAATTTAAAGATAAAATCACCATTATGCACGATGTCTCCCCCAAACTCCGGGAAGGGCACGCGCCGCGGTAGCGCCTCCGCCTCGTCAGTGGCGTCGCCCTCCTCCCAATCAGATACGTCTTCCTCCTCGCGCAGCTGGAGTCAAAATGAGTATAATCAGTAACTTAGAATGTAATAAAAGTAATTCATACCTGTTACTGTATCATGTGAGCAATTTCAGTTTTGGATATGTGAAATGAACGATAAAAGTTTGTCAAAACAGTCTTAACCTATCACGTGCAACATCAAGTGAGTACTCACCGGAGGACTGATGTCTCTGGTGTTCCTGGAATGCAGCGAGCGGGGATCTGAACGCTCTGAGCGCTCTGAGGGCGAGGGGCTGGCGCTGGCGGAGTGGATGCCACTGCTACGACCCCCGGAGCCCCCGGACCCGCTCTCGGTCTGGTAACGCTCGATCACCTGCAATACATCAAATACTGTTATATGATTGAAATGTGCCGGCTTAAGGTTAGCAGTCAGCTAGACTCTTCAAACCTTTACGTCTCGCCAATAGTTTTATTACGAATCGTAATTGCGGCCGCCATGGGGACGTATAAGATACCGCCTTTAATTAGGCACGTTAAAGCACACTAAAATGATGTCAGTCAAAATGTTTATTTAAAAAATACCTAGTCATCTTCAAATCTCATTGTTTTGTGATCGGATTGTATAGATCCCGGAACTACTGTTACAATATAAAAAAATGAACACAATTATATCGCAAGATAGCAGAAACATGCGTGTTTATCAAAGTTATTGTATTAAAAAAAGTTTCTAGGCATTTTAAATATATGTCATAATTTATTTTATGACCAACAGTGTGTGATCAGACTTGAATACCGACCATATGATTGTTATTACGGGCACAAGACAAAATAATCTCATTACGGAGAAAGCTTCAAGGCTTCATTAAAAAAAACAATAAGTACCTATGTAGATAGACAATCAAACGGTTACAGATATTTTAAACAACTAAAGTAAACCCGGATGCAAAACGGATGTAAAACGGAGTATATTTAGAGTATATTTATATAGATAATAATATATTTATCATATATTATCAGCAGTACTCATTTAATCGCCGATTAAATTTATGATTGGTCGCCAGGAGACCGTTGCACTCTGACTTTGACGATTTGTTTGATAAGCAATCACTTAACAGTATCAGTTATTCCATGCATGTTATTAATGTTTATAATACACTAGCTGTCGTCTGCGAATCCGTCCGCCCGGAATTAAAAAGAAACTTAATTAGTACCCTATATGTTCTTTCAAAATGTGTTTTACATCAATGCTAACTTCCTAAACTAAAAGATCCATGCAGCCGAGACACCTTTAAACAAACATCCATCCATCCAAACATTCGCATTTATAATATTAATAACATTGAATTTTCATTACTTATATAAGGTACTGAATAAAAATGTAAATTAAACTTTTACTAATGACAATGATATTATTAAACGATTTAAACTTTCTGTACAGAGGATATGTTATTCCTAAAATGTTTCACCTTCTTTAACTCGAAAATATTAGACATTCATAATTTTATATCGATTAGTTAATAATAAATTAATAAGGAGTATGTATACCTGCTACAAGAATTAGAGCAACAGAAAAATCTATTTAGAGAAAGTAACTCACAATATTGCTGATGAAATTGTACATCTTCGTAAGTGTTGCAGCGTGACGAAATATAATGGGCACTAGTTTCTAAAGATATATACGTAAATAATGTGAAAATAGAATAATGAGAAAGATAGAGACAATTCTCATAGAACGGAACACTCTCACACTGCGGCCCGAATGTCAGTCAGTGCTGAGCAAAGAAATTATATACAGGGTTGGCGACGAAGGAAAAATTTTAATATCAATATGAACAGTGACTAATGTATATTTAATTTAAATTAACATTGTTACTTGGTAGTATTAGCTTATTTTATTTTATTGTATTATCTGATAAACCACCAAAATATATAGTTCTTTTTTTTTCAAAATCATCAAATTATTCTTTCCAAAAACAAATCATCTATAAACGTTGCTGCTACAAATTCAATCCAATAACATTAATTTTTGTTTTAAAAAAATATATTACGTATTAAATTACTCACCCAACCAATAACATATAAGGAAGCAACAGCCAAAAACATATATAATGTCAACATTATTACAAAGAAACACTCGCGGGTGGTAAGAGTAGCGATTGCAGAACGCACGTCATTAGAGAAAAATTTGGCGCGCGCGCACGACTGACAGATTGCTTTCGCGCCTTAATTAACATAAAAACGTATTAATACTCACCATTTCTTTATAAAGCGTGCAACTGTTTCGATGTATCTTTGCGGCTTATGACAAAATGTTATCGTGATAAGAAACTTTATCTAAGGTTCGTACTCAATATTGATACGGTTGAATCATTTTAGTCTATGTGTGACTAAAGATTTCATTCGTCAAAGGACCTACGAAGGTACGTTGTGTGAAAACTGATTTGATAATTTGGTTTACGATAAGTTCTCTCGTTTATGATTGATGCTGATTTATAGATACGCCAGGAATAGCTGTAGTTTCGTAGTTGTAACGTATATTTATCTACCCGTATGGTGCAATATGATTACGAATGTCTATTTAATTTTGATAATTTAATGTAAACATGTTGTGTCTGTTTAATTTAGTACTTAGTCTATTATTAGTAACACAATTGATTCAAAATCACAGGGCAAGAGATTTCGCGTTAATATCCCAGGACCCTGAATGGAAGGCTTACGTTTCATTAATTTAATTAAGGAAATGATTTACAAATGTGTTTAAAATTGTCTCATAATTACGAATTACATAATGTGCATAAAATTCATCTTATTCATGTTACGTCTTTATTTAATCTGTGGGAAAACTGGAAATATTTAAATAGTTAGGCGCTCTAGCTGGCGAAAGGTGTGAAGACGAAGGCGGAAAGTGACGCGTTACGATTGTAATGTGGACATAATGGTCGTTAGCAAGCCGAGTAAATTATTGCGCATATGCAACTCTAGCAACTCATAATAAGTAATTTTTAATCTGTTTTTATGAATTATTGAACAATAACAGCATCCTTTATTAGCAGCATTCTAGATTAGTATTGTTGGTTTTGACGCTTATTTTTCATATATGAAAATTTTAAGAAGTAATTTTGACTTAGGCCCCTCAAAATCTAGTAAAATATCCATTGGTTTTTTAAATGTACTTACAAAATCGTTAGGTATTAAAAAAGTTTCGACGCACACAAAAATACAATCGATTCAAATTACTACAGGAATAAGTATGACTGCATTACAAAACTTAGTAGATTTGAAGAATTAAACATTTAATTTCTACATAATTGTCGTTTGACAGCCCTAAATTAGTATGTGGCAGGTGCCGTGACATGATGACTTTGTACGGTTTCCCGCCAACATTACATAAAGGTAAGTCGCGACTAACCAGATATGTTTGATTATTGGCAAATCAATAGTTTGATATCAAAATAAAAACCTTAAAAAACAAGTAACAACCGTAAATGATGGCATAAACAAGTGACGGAAAAAGAACTAAATTTGATATAGGCCAGTTATAAAGATTTTCTTATAAAAAAGTACTCTTAAGTTGGAATATTTCATTTTACCTCTAAACTCATTTCCGACAACACCTCGTAGCACTCATCGTAGTATAACATGAAGGCGTCTTGCCATTTCTTCCACTCTAATTTCGCGGATATATAGTGCAAATTGCTGAAGTAATAAAACGGCGAAAGATGAGGACATGCTTCCATTTTACACCAAAGAGTTTGTATATATATATAATTTACACTGAGAAAAACCCTTTCGATATAGTTTTGTCTGTACTATTTAGAAGGACATGTAATAAAACCGAGCTGACTTGATAGACTGACTTTAATATAATAAAACACTAACTTCATAAATACGATAAATAGCCATTTTAATTGTGATACATGTAAAAGCCAATAAATAGCGGACATAAATGCATAATATAAGCAAATGAAAACTCCTTGATGATTAACCAATGAACAATTGTTGAATATGCCAGTGTTTTTATTATCAATGATAAATGTGTTTCTATTTCAATGACCATGAAGTAGTAAGTGAATCATATGAATCATAATTCATAGTCTTCTTTCTTTCGTTCTCTCAATTAACCCATGTTCTAATCCTTGATGTTTGATCCATAGACAAGTTATGCATGTTATTCTATAAGTAGTCGAACATTTTAAAGTACTTTTGTTTTTTGCTTTGTTTAATTGCTGTTATTATACAACCTTGTACGGTTTCTTTTATCTTATTAAAACGTCAAATTAACTACTAAAATCACGAAACGGTTAGAATAATTACCCGCAAATCCTTCTCAACCAAAATATTTTCTTTAGTCGATTAATGCTAATTGTAAATTTTATTACAAACCTTTAACATGATTAGTGATTGTTTAACTTTTAAAATAACGATCAGTTCCTCTTGTTTATCTTACCTTATTCAATATAGCAGTAGCTAGCAGATCTTCATATGTTGAGGAGTGTATGGTGGGTGTGGGCGTTGGCGTTGGCGAGGGCGCTGCGGCGTACCGCGCCAGCGCCGGCAGCGCTGCAGCCTCCTCCACGACTCTGGCAACGAGCCGTTTGAGCTGCGCGTGCGCACCGCTCGCCCCGCTGCCCACGTAGCCGGCGCTTGAACCATGCTGGGATTGCGGTAAATCTGACGAAAGGAAAAAATAAATTGCATATGAAAACAGTTTATGATAATATAAATTTTCAACTGATTTTACAATACATTTTGATTTATGCTTTTGAAAAGTTTGAAGGATTCATATAGAGAATGACACGAGTGTAGTGCGTAGGAATATGCGCGTGCGTGGAAACTTTCAAGCGCTTAGAAAAAACATGGCGTGTTTTACGATAGGATCTTTATAATGGTAATGCGGCACGTCAGCTCACACTTTTGCGTTACAAGAGCCTTCTGTATAAACTTGCAATTGCAATTTTCGCAATTAACTCTTTGATTGGACACATAGCCTTGATTTAAAAATACTTTTGTATTCAAGTAAAGTTGTAAATTATAATAATACATAGTCAATTAGTTGTTATTATCTGTGGCCGGGGCGCTGAACAATGGCAACAATTAGTATTTGTCATCGTCATTCCGCACGCCATCTAGCGTTTTCACGAGTTGTCAGAGAATCCGAGGTCGGGTGCCGACCTCTGGCGATTTTAAAAGTTAAAACGTTGTCTTTGATTTATATTTCTTCATTATTTATAAGATATTTTGTTCAGCTACACACGACCAGACGACATTTTTATTTTTCTTTTGTAGGAAATCATTAAGTTTTCTTTAAACTATAGTTGCATAATTTATTAGTTGTCTTACCAAAGACTTACATTAACTAGCGACTACATTTCTTCAAATGTATTCTAAACTAATGTTAGATCTCCTTTAAATAGTATGAAGATAATTGTATAGAGATTTAAAGGGGTTCTTCTGGTACTAGAACTCTAGAGGGGTCTTTTATAGTTTAAAATATAGTTCACCAAAGATTCTTCCTTTATTAAAACTAAATTCTTTTTTTTTAAAAGTTGTGTTAAGATTTTAAACGTTGTTCTTGTACTTAAAATCAATTTCTTAATTTTAGAAAGAAATATAAATATAACGTCTAACTTAAAGGGGTACGCCGAAATTGCAGATTTGCTTTTAGCGCAAACAATGTTTTAATAATTGTATTATAACTTTTATAAAATTATTTTTAAAAAGCTAAATAAAATAAAGATGAATAATTTTTGTTTTTCTTTCTTTAAAATATAAAAGGTTATTTTTTGTAAAAACTTTTTGCACTGCACGTGAGATGAGACTTGTATGAATAACTAATGTGTTCAACACGTCATTCTTGTTTTCAAGGAAACTTTTTGCTATGTTTTTTTGTAGGATTCGTCTGTGTTGTGTATAATTATAATACTTCTTTTATATCTTAGATAGGTTTATTCTACTAGTCGTAATTAGGAATTTTATTATTACGCTGGAAGAAACGTAATAAGGCAATAAAAAGCTACGAATAATAAATCAGAACATTCCAGAAATTCTTCATACAAGTGACCTTTGTATGATCAATAAACACGTTGACTTTATCATTTCTTGAGACAAGTTACATTAAATATTCTGTTTACACAAATATATTTACGATATTTGTATACCTAAAGTCAATTTCCATGTGTCATGGAGGACAAAATAATGTATTGATTACATTAAAAGATTAAATTTCACATATATGATATAGAAATTCCCTCTTTTTATGTTAATATTGTTCAGCCTATGAAATCGTCACCGCGTAATATAAAAAAAATAGTAATAAATGTGCCTAAAGATAGATAGGTAGATAGAGGGTCACGGGGTCGATCACCTACCCCCTGGTCCGATCAAGTGCAGGCTATACTGGGACTCAATATCACGACTGCCCTGAGACAAGCCAAAGACAGGACGGCGCAACGGAGGCAACTGGTCGACGCAACCGTTAAATCATATCAAGACAAGCACGACCTTCATTAATGAAGAATACGAAGAAGAGAAATATGGTTATGTCACCTGCGGATATCCCATCAGTGAACGAGTTTTTCGAATCGGTTCAGCAGTTTCAAAGCCTATTCTTTACATACAAATAAGCTGATCCTCTTAATATTAGTATAGATTATATAAGTATTAAGACAACATTTTAATACTTGAATGAATAGATTCGAAAAACAATAGTAGCGAAAACTGTTGCTTAAATTATGACATCATGATTATAATTGTAAAAGTATAATACGATTCGAGATAAGTATAGTAACTGCTTAAATCCTTTAACATGACAATTAAAGGAATTACCAAACATAATACAAAACAAAATTCACTCTTCAAAGTCTGGAATAGCACAAAGTTTCATATCATAAATTATTCCAAACATTTTCTCAGCGTTACTTACCTAAAATCTCTTCAATCCAATAACAGGAGACGTACAGGAATATGGCGACTCCCAGCCAAAACCCAATTAATAGTACAATCAGGTATTCCAACATCTTCAATTATTCATTTTGTATCACTAACTTTATTTATTAATTTTTATCTTATATTTTTAACATCAATTCGTTACGAGTTTACATTATATTTAACAAAGTATACATGTTTTTGTTTTGATTGTATGGGTTTTAACCTTTTAAAACGTTTTCAGGTAACATAACAGTTTAGTTAAAGGCGAAAAAAATGGATGATTATTATTTTAACTAGTATATATTAAAGATGTAACTGTTATTTTTCACATTAATTTAAAAGTAACTATTTAAAAATAGGTGTGTTTCAGTTATTAGTAGTAATTTTGAAATTTAAGTGACCGTTTGATGTGTGTTTTAACGGATTGTTTGTTGATATTATGAAATCCGTTCTGCGTGTTTCGGAACGGAATTGAAAACTTCGCGCGCTGCGATGTAGTGACAAATCAGATGTTTTGTAAACTATGTTTAAAAAAAAATCAGTGTAAAATTCTCGAAAATTTCAATTAAGCTGTTAATTTGGGAGAAATAAAGCTAAAACTGGCTTCTACCGTGTGCAGGGCTTTAAAGAAAATATTGTTGTAAATGTTATATCTTAGTTTCTGAAGAAAGTAAACGCTCGGATAGTGAACTATTTGCTACTGTATTGAACGAAAGTAAGACCAATGCTTTATGGTTTTGTAAAAATAAAATAACAACCGTTTCTAACGAGTACATCACGACCGTAACATTGATAAGCTTTGCTCAATGTGTGTCTAATATGGAGTAAAGGAAAAAAGAAAACAAATATCTCACGTATTTTATCGTTTGCTAAGATCTTTTGAAGCAGAAAGTTGTAAAAAGAAACTAGAAAACGAAAACTTATTGATAAAAATTGACTGGATATAACTTTATTTAAAAAAAATTAAATAAGTCAGCAGAGGCGTAATGGAAAGCAAGAAACCATTACACAAAATGGCTTTCTAGTAGATTAATATGGAATTTACTTTAATAAATCAATATGAGAACACAATTTGCCAAAAATATCACCAATAAAGCCAAAGTAAACAGTTACTTAACCGATAATCGTTGAGGAATTCAGGACGAAGATGTGACATGAAACTTTTAACGGTCATCATGCAAATGACTGGACGCACAATGGTATACCATCAACACCGTATGCTCTTTGACAGAACGAGGACGACCTTGAGTCTATACCTACTTACTCTTTGCTTCAGTCGCACTGAGAATAAACATGGGGCGGACATACCATAGCAAAATATCGAGAAGTTTTATATAGTTTTATGAGTATACCTATGTGTTCCTCCAAACTACCTTATATATCTATGACAAATTTAGATCTGCAATCGTTCTGGAGATACCTTTAAACAAACATCCATGCATCCAAACATTCACATTTATAATATTAGTAAGAAATAAGTAAGTTAGTCAATATTCAAACTAATTCGTAGTTACATTTGGCAGTATGAAACGAATACCATCCTTGACCCATAAAATTATACATAGCTATGTGTTAATTCAAATACGAACGGTATTTAAATGTTTATTTCCATATATGTATTCCTGTTGCGTTTGATCGTTCGTATGTAAATACTGTAACCGAAAGGATTAGGCCTAGTCTCATAAACAGCTATTTTAGTAGCCAGTATTTCTAAATTCAAAACTTGAACTCCGTCCGCGCGGAAATTAAAAAAAAACTTAATAAGTAGCATATGTGCGTAGACTATGTTCTACAACTGTGCCAAATTTCGCCAAGAACCGTTTAGCCGTTCCGAAGATATCATCTAACAAACATCTATCCATCCATTTATACTTACGTATTTATAATATTATAATAGTAGGATTAGGGGTATGTGTATGGTTCTGTATATTTCTGCAGTGGGAATCCTCAGAAAAAGATTGTTTCGTATTTTTTTTATCGTTTGTCTTTAGTTTTCTGCTTTGACGTATTTAAATACATGTAATAAGATAAAATGGATGTGTAATTAAACGAAAGTATAGGAGAATTACGTTGTCATTTCCTCGGACACGTGTTGCACTAGTTAAGGTAATGACTGGATCAGCTCTACTGCGAGTATAGAAAGCAGCAAGGGTCGTTCACATGCAACATGCATCAATCATTGCAAGAATTTCATTTAAAATACCCCTCAGTATTATTATAAATGGACCTGCCCGTCATATAACGTAAATAACCTAAAGAAAATGGTCTCGTCAACGCCTTTGAAAAATTATATAACCTCCTTCTTTTTGATGTCGGCTAAAAATACTTACTACTGGCTACTTATATTATTTAAAAAAATATTCATAAAGCTAACTATTGTACAAAATAAGTTGTTTATTTTTTTCGATTTATAGTTCCATTTTTAAAACTTCAATCTACATAAGTACGAATCACGTTAATGTTATGGAAGTTTGTTATTACTTATTTAAATCACATTGTTCCGTAATATTGATGTCAATTTACATTTGACAAATTATATTTTAATGACAACTCATTAAATAACAGTTAGTTAGTACAGGAAGTTATTTAAAACATCGATTAAAAACAGTTTTATCGGATATCCGGTAGACCTAACATCGCAATGTTCCTCAAGTCTTGATAAGGTAACTGGTTCCTTCTAAGATTACCATTTACTAGTTTTAGGGCTTCTTGATAAATATGTATGGAGAGATAGTCAATAAGTC